ACCGCAACAACAACAATGTAGAAACGATTTTAATTCGAGTAGGTTTGAAAAAGGTTCGCGAAGGTTGTTGCCGATGGGAAAAACAAAAAAAGGTGGACGAATTCGATGCCGGTTGTTTTATTTTATTTAATGTCGTCTGCTCGACCGTATTAAATTAACAAACAAACGACAACAAACGACAACCATACGGGAACGAGATAAAAATCGCAATAATTAAAAAATTATTATTATTATTATTATTATTATTATTATTATTATTAGCGATTTTTATTTATATGCGTGTAACATTTATTAAATTATTTACATAATTTTATTATTACGTAACGAATCCGTGTTTGTAGCAGCTTTTGCATAATAATAATAATAATTAAAATTATGTATAATGATGATAATGATAATGATAATAATAATGATAAAATATTAATTTTTAAATCGGATTCGTGATGAATAAGAAGGGGGGAGTTGAGGGAAGGAAAGAGGGACTACCGGTCGGTAAAATTTCTTTACACGGTAATAATAATAATAATAATAAATCATCATCATTTTCATTGCCGTCGTCTGCTTTTTTGCAAATGTGATTTTTTAAAAAAGGAAAAAAATTTTCCAGTCAAGGGAAAATCCAAATTTTTTTTTCCTTTCGTTTCGTTTCGTGATGTTTAATTATTACAACAAATCGTTTTAACGATTGTTTAATTACATCGTTTATTATTCACGAGAGTTTTTTTTTTTTTATCGTTTCGTTTGTTTGTTTGTTTGTTTGTTTGTTACGTAAATTAGTTAGATTCACGAACCATGTAAAGAAAAATTAATTTCTTGGAAAAAAAAAAAAAAAAATCGTCACGCGCGAAAAATATGAAAATCCGAAAGGTTGAATATGATTTTCCAGGAAACGGAAGTTAAATACAAAGTCAAAAAATTTTCCAGCTCCAGTTCGGGTTTTATTTGAAAAATGTTATCAGAATATTTAGAAAACTGATAGCGAATTGATTGATTACAAGGAGGTATTTAAAAAATGATGCGGTAAATCTCTGGAGAATAAAATTGGAGACGAACAAACAACAAACATTTGATTTTGTCTTATTAGAAATTTAATTTTTAACGTTATCATCATCATTATTATTATCATTATTATTATTATCATTATTATCATCATTATTATTTATTTATTTAATAAAAATTTAAGGTTTTACACGGTTGTCGTTGTTGTTGTTGTTGTTGCCGTCGTCAGGAAAATTTCCCGAGAAAAATTTGATGAAATCTTGTTGGACAAAACAAACGGATACAAACACAAAAAACAATAAAGAAACGATTAAAACGTTTTTTTCGGTTGTCGTCTGTCGTTTGTCGTTTGTCGAACTGAAAAAAAAAAAAAAAGGAAAAATTTTATTTATTAACGTCTGAAGAAGAAGAAGAAGAAGGATGAAAACGAGGATTTAAGATAATGTTATCTAATTAAAAAAAAAAAAAAAAAGGATTTTAAGGGTGCGAAAGGCCACCACCGCCATCATCGGCACCACCGCCGTCGGCACCACCACCACCACCACCGCTGGCACCGCCACCAACGGACAAAATTCAAGAAGTTTAAACATTAAAAAAAAAAAAAAGGGAAATGCCCGAAGACAAACCACCGAAGATAACCTTTTAACAAAAAAATAATCATAACGAGATAATAATAATAATATTTAACGTTATTTTGATTATCTTATTCTTATCAATTTTGGACATTTCCATAAATCACGTCGTTTTTTTTTATGGAGTGATAACGGAATAATAATAATGATGATGATAATAATAATTCTCTCACGATTTTAAATAAAAACAATTAAAAGTAATTAATAGAAATTTTTTTTCTTTTTTTTTTAATAATAAATTTATTAATATTTTATTTATCGATAACGGGATTAACGTTCGATTGTTATTAACATTAATAATGATGATGATGATGATGATGATGATGATAATGATAACAGGCGGTGAAAATGGTTAATTGATAATTATATATCTAATTAAAAAAATTTTCTTTTTTATTAAACGATGGAAAACGACGGTGCGTGCGTGCGTAAATGCGTGCGTATATAACGCACGAGTTAATAATTTAATTAATTAATAAATAAATAAATATTTAATTAATAATTAAACGATAATAATGATAATGATAATAAAGAAAAAAGCGGAAAAGAAAAAATAGAAAATTGATTGAGTTATTATTATTATTAGGAGAAAAAAAAAAAAAAAATTAAACAAACAAACAAACAACAAACGGCAACGATTTTCGGATGTTTATTTATTTCAAATTCATAAATTATGATCCGACGATTATCTATTTACACGTTTCTTTAAAATAATAATAATGTTAATATAAAGAATAGATAATTAACAAATTAAATATCAAGGTTAAAGGAAATAGGAAATGTTTTTCTTCCGAAACCGTTTATTTATTTATTTAATTATGTAGATGAAGTGGAAGTAAAAGAATTTATTAAAATATATTAATTAGATGATTTATTAATTAATTACTAATAATAATAATAATTTTGTCGGTCGTCAACGTCGTCGGAAATGGAAATTTTTTCCAATGCGAGGCGAAAAAACAAAAACGGGGAAAAAATTATTATTATCGTTTTTATGTTTTATTAACGCGTTCTTGCGATGTATCGATTTATCGAACGATTGATTTAACAATTTTTTATTTACATATCGGTATGTGCGAAAATTTTAATAGATTAATAAAAAAAAAAAAAATTATAATTTTTACATCGATCGATCGATCGATCATACGACCTATCGAAACCTTTCGATTAATAAATGAACAAAGGTCAAATTAATTAAAAAACAATCACGATACGTTTTTTTTTCTAAAAAAAAAAAATTTATTAATTAAAATTTTCCTATTATTATTATCATCATTATCATTATCATTAGTGCTATTAATAACAAGTATCTATTTTAAATTTATTTAATAATAATAATAATGATAATAATTTAAATGGCGCGTGTAAAAACGTGGGCGGGTGTAATGAAAATGAATGTCGTTTTGCAAATCGTCGACGTTTTTCCTTTACCCCCCATTTCGAATTTCCGCATTTTCGTCGTTGAGTCCCCCGTTCTCCCATTCCTTCCATATCCCCCCATTTCCCGCCTGCCTAAAATTTCGCATTCGTTTCCGGAATTTGTTTTGTCTTTTTCACGTACACGTTGATCACTTTTGATTGTTGATTTGTTCGGATTCAATGTTCAGGTACTCCGACGCCATTTTGTTTTTTTCTTTTGCCCCCTTTTTTAAATAAATAACTATAAGTCGTCGTCGTCGTCGTCGTAAATAATAATAATAATAATAATAATAATAATAATAATAATAATAAAATTCGGTTAAAAAATAATTTAAATAATAATTTATTAACAATTGATGTTTGTACTGAGAAAAAAAAAGGAAAAAGAAAAAGAAAATTTATTATTATTATTATTATTATTATTATTACTACTATTATCATTATTATTATTATTACTATTATTATTATTATTATGGTCGTTGTCGTACGTTGCGAAGGTAACTTTTGTTATTGAACGTTTTCAAATGAACCGGATATTTGAGTTTGTGTGTTGTTGTTGTTGTTGTGTGTGTGGCAAAAAAAAAAAAAAAAATTTTTTTTTCTTAGGGTGGAAGGAAGACGTGGTAGCAGAAGAGTAACAGCTGCCACTCACACGATTTTATATTTTAATGAAAGAAAGAAACTTGATTTTTAGTTTAACGACACGATCTTTTTTTTTTTTTTTTTAAAAACTCTTAGCAAAATCATATATTTTGCTTCGGTTCGTGAATTTAATTTGTTTGGTTTTTTTTTTTTCCGTTTGTTCGTTCGTTTGTTTTCTTATTTATTTTTATTATTATTATTATTATTATTATTTTAAAAATTTGCTCTCGGTAATTTTTTTTTTTTTTTTTAAATAAATATGTAGCGAAAAATTAAAACAAACAAACAAACAAACGGAAAAAGTTTATTATTATTAATTAATAATAATAATTAATAATAATGGTAATCGAAAGTAATAAACGAACGTTAGCAAATCGTTTGTAAAAATTATTAATAATAATAATGATATTTTTCAATTTGCTACGAGAAATTAAAATAATTAATTTATAATTATTAATAACAAAAATAAAAAAAAGTTTTTATTTTTTATTTATTTATTTGCTCCGGTTTAATATTTAGATATAGAATATTCTTTTTTTACTCGCGTAGAAAATAAAAAAAAAAGAAAAAATGATTAATTAATGTTTTGTTGCGATGTTTTG